GAATCTGTGTCTGATTTAGCCACAGTTCAGCACTCTTGTAGAGGCAGAAGGCAGAGTGGTTGAAGTGTGTAGGCTTTCTATTCTTATGTCCCAGGTTCAAATCCTGGATCTTTATTTTCCTTAGTGACTGTGAGTCCAGGTCTCAGCTTCCCAATCTGTGAAACAGGGATCATAACAGCACATGCCTCAAGGGTTGTCATGAGCAATATATGAAGCAATCATTATAAGGCATTGAGCACAGAGCCTAAGAGCATGAGCCCGCAAATGCGCTATGAGTTTCAGCTGTTAACTCAAAGCAGTTTTTTTTTTGTTGTTGTTGCCAAGTCTCTGGCTAAAGATGCCCAAGGGCTATGGTTTAGAGAGAAGCACCTGAACCCTCCTAAGCAGTTGGGTTGGGGGATCCCAGGCCTGGCTGCCCTGCCAGCTCTTGTCCCACAGAGGCCCCCATTTCGCAGGTCACATGTGTGGTTCACCTCCTGTACAGCCTTCCCAGGCCTATGCAGGAGCCTACCACCTGCTTACTGGTTTGTAAGTCATTCAAGGGCTGGTGCTTATAGTCACTCAAGGTGGTGACTCACACCTATAATCCCAGCACTTTGGGAGGCCAAGGCAGGTGGTTCACTTGAGGTCAGGAGTTTCAGACCAGCCTGGCCAACATAGCAAATGAAATCCTGTCTCTACTAAAAATACAAAAAATTAGCCGGGTGTGGTGGCACATGCCTGTAATCTCAGCTACTCAGGGAGGCTGAGGTACAGGCTGCAGTGAGCTGAGATCATGAAACTGCACTCCAGGCTGGGCGCGGTGGCTCAAGCCTGTAATCCCAGCACTTTGGGAGGCCGAGATGGGCAGATCACAAGGTCAGGAGATCGAGACCATCCTGTCTAACCTGGTGAAACCCCGTCTCTACTAAAAAATACAAAAAACGAGCCGGGCGAGGTGGCGGGCGCCTGTAGTCCCAGCTACTCGGGAGGCTGAGGCAGGAGAATGGCGTGAACCCGGGAGGCGGAGCTTGCAGTGAGCTGAGATCCGGCCACTGCACTCCAGCCTGGGCGACAGAGCAAGACTCCGTCTCAAAAAAAAAAAAAAAAAAAAAAGGCCGGGCGCGGTGGCTCAAGCCTGTAATCCCAGCACTTTGGGAGGCCGAGACGGGCGGATCACGAGGTCAGGAGATCGAGACCATCCTGGCTAACATGGTGAAACCCCGTCTCTACTAAAAATACAAAAAACTAGCCGGGCGAGGTGGCGGGCGCCTGTAGTCCCAGCTACTGGGAGGCTGAGGCAGGAGAATGGCGGAACCCGGGAGGCGGAGCTTGCAGTGAGCCGAGATCTGGCCACTGCACTCCAGCCTGGGCGGCAGAGCGAGACTCCGCCTCAAAAAAAAAAAAAAAAAAAAAAGAAACTGCACTCCAGCCTGGGTGACAAAGTGAGACTCTGTTTCATTAAAAAAAAAAAAAAAAAGTCACTGGATTCTCCCAAGCCAGTCCCCTACATTTCACATCGGGAGGGTCACCTATGGTGCCTGTGTCGGGCTGTGGTGGGTTCCCACACGAACCCCTTGTATTTCTACTCCCCATGGTAGTCAGAAGAGCCTTTAAAAAGGGTAAATTTGCCGGGCACGGTGGCTCACACCTGTAATCCCAGCACCTCTGGAGGCAGAGGCAGGAGGATTGCTTGAGGCCAGTCTGGGCAACAGAGCGAAAGCCCATCTTTTAAGTTAAATTTAAAACTATAAAAATAAAACGGCCAGGTGCGGCGGCTCATGCCTGTAATCCTAGCACTTTGGGAGGCTGGGGCAGGTGGAATGACTGAGGTCAGGAGTTCGAGACCAGTCTGGCCAACATGGTGAAACCCTGTCTCTACTAAAAACACAAAAAAATTAGCTGGGCATGATGGTGTGCACCTGTAATCCCAGCTACTCAGGAGGCTTAGGCAGGGGAATTGCTTAAATCAGGGAGCTGGAGGTTGCAGTGAGCCGAGATCGCGCCACTGCACTCCAGCCTGGGCAACAGAGCAAGACTCCATCTCTAAATAAATAAATAAATAAGTTTTATTAAAGGGTAAATCAGTCAAATTTCCAAAAGAATTTTGAGAATCCAGAGCCCATAGCTCTGATAACTAAACTCAACATCTGGACCCAGCTTGGCAAGTGCTCTGTGATCCAGCCCATTACCTACCTCTCATCTCATCTCTCCGTCATGCTCCAAGAAGTGTCTGCTCCCCAAGTGTATAAGCTCATGCCCCCAGGCCCATGTCCTTGCCCTTCCCTCTGCCTGGTACACCCTTCCTCCAGATCTTTACACTTTTGCCTCTTTCTTCAGCCTCAGCTCAAACATCATCTTCTCCCAGAGGTCTTCCCCGACCACCCCAGGGATAGTAGCCCTCCCCCTCCCCCAGGCACTCTCACATTACCTTATCATTTTCTTTCAGAGCTCTTAGGATGATCTGAACTTCTCTCATAAACTGGGTTATTCACCAGCGAACTGCCTGCTTCCCTCGCTATAACTGAAGCACTGGAAGAGGTTCTGAACCCAGTAGGCACTCAATGAGTATCTGAGGAATGAATGAATGAAATGCCTGGTGCACAATCAACCTCCACGAAAGCAGTTTTTCTTTTCACATATAACTCATCCCTGTCACAGCCCCTCTCCTTGCTCCCCTGCCTCGCTGAGGGGCTCCTAAGAACCTCCGTAGAGGTCTCCATCAGCCAAAAAGCATCTGCACAGTCAGAGACGGCCCCTGACTGCTGCTTGCAGTGCTCCCTCCTGCCAGGTGCAGCCCCTTGGGCATGAGCCTGTAACACACAGGTTGGCACATGGCGTCTGGCTTCTGTAAATGCTCTCTGCTCCCAGGTGTGCCATGCCCTACTGAAGGACAGCACTTACCCTCCTCCAGGTATTAACCGACTTTTCCCCAGCAATGTTTGTTTTAGGGATTAAAGTTTGTGGAGGAGCCTATAATTTCCAGAATCATCTGTTCCTTTCCTGGCAGCCAGCACATTTGTTATTCTATTTTCCCAAGCCCCTGATAATACCGTTCCAGACATGTTGGTTTGATGGCATCAGTCAACGGAAAGACTCTCTGAGGCCTGCTGTAGGCCAGAGGACAGGCTCTCCGGTCCACACTCAGGGGTGACTGAGCCAACTCTTCATGCCATTCCTTTCCTTCCCTGCCTAGGACGACCTTACAGCCCATGATCACTTTTCTTCTTTTTGTTTTTTCTTCCTGTTTCCTTTTTAAGTATTATAGTGACTCCTTATTTATTCAGCACAGTCAAGAAACGGACTACTCCACAGTAGTGAATTTTCAAAATAATGCCCTTCAAGCACTAAAACTAAACAACACATCTTCAAAACAGCTTTGCTGAGGTATAACTGACACACTATAAACTGCATGGATTTAAAGTGTACAACTTGATATATTTTGACATATGGGCACACCCATGAAACTATCACCACAATCAAGATAATGAACATGTCCATCATTCCCAAAAGTTTCCTCCCACCCCTCCCTGCCCCCTTCCCCAAGCAACCAGTGATCTATTTTCCAAATACGTCTTTAATGCTACAAGGGCCCACACACCTCCCTGCCTTAGAAAATGGAGTATGATCAACATGATTGATCCTTTCCTTGATTCAGCATTATCACCAACACGATGGAAAGTGATGTCGGCCGGGTGCGGTGGCTCACGCCTGTAATCCCAGCACTTTGGGAGGCCAAGGCGGGTAGATCACAAGGTCAGGAGATGGAGACCATCCTGGCTAACACGGTGAAACCCCGTCTCTACTAAAAATACAAAAAATTAGCCGGGCGCGGTTGTGGGCACCTGTAGTCCCAGCTACTCGGGAGGCTGAGCCAGGAGAACGGCGGGAACCCGGGAGGCGGAGCTTGCAGTGAGCCGAGATCGTGCCACTGCACTCCAGCCCGGGCGACAGAGCGAGACTCCGTCTCAAAAAAAAAAAAAAGAAAGTGATGTCCTCAGATGTCATGAGGATGCATGATTTTTTGCCCTCACTAAATGGCCCATTGTTGTGCTGGCATACTGGGCGGTTTCAAGTTTGGGAGTTTTCTCCCTCGCTGCCAGCTGTCTCAGAGCTTAGTTCCCAGCAGACAACTCTTGCTGCCTCGAACCCTGGCACACTAACCACCATCCTGTGATGTTCCCACTCCTCACTCTGCAACAGTGGTTCTCTGCTGGGAGTGATTTTTGTCTCCCAAGGGAAATTTGGCAATACCTGGAGATCTTTTTGGTTGTCATCATGGGAGCGGGAGTGCTACTAGCAGCTAAGTTTAGTGACTAGGGATGCAACTAAACATCCTGCAATGCAGAGTCTCCCCTACAGAGTATCCCACCCAAGATGTCAATAATGCCAAGGTTGAGAAACCCTGTTCAGGATGACAAACCGACTGAAAACTCAACAAGGGGGCCAGGCACGGTGGCTCACGCCTAATAATCTCAGCACTTAGGGAGGTCGAGGTGGGTGTATCACTTAAGGTCAGGAGTTCGAGACCAGCCTGACCAACATGGCAAAACCCCATCTCTACTAAACACACACACACACAAAAATACAAGTGGCATGTGCCTATAATCCCAGCTACTCGGGAGGCTGAAGCATGAGAATTGCCAGAACCCAAGAGGCGGAGGTTGCAGTGAGCTGTGATCAGGCCATTGCATTCCAGCCTGGGCAACAGAGCGAGACTCTGTCTCAGGAAAAAAAACAAAAACAAAAAAAACAAAACATAAAACAAACAAACAAAAAGAAACTATGAGGATTGAGTGATTCACATTTCTGAATCAACAGAGAGAAGGAAGGGCAGCAGGCTTGTTGAAGCTGGAAGGTCAGGGGGGTTGCAGACTGAAGAAGATCCTGGTGTGTCCCAGTTACCTCCATGCAACCCTACTAGAGGTGGTCTCTGGCTTCCTAGGGATAAGCTCTAAGGGATTCAGCTATGGTGCACCACAGCCCAGCGTTCAGCAGCTGCTCAATGAATGTCTGCCAGGTGAGACTGCACCCAAAGCATTTATTAGGTACATAATGTGGCAGCACTTGCTGGCCATGGAAGGCAAGGCAGAAGACAAGGAGCTGGAGCTGGTGGAAGGAAGCCATTAAGTTAGCCAGTGGCTGGGATGCAGCAAAGCTAGGCAGAAGGTAAGTGCAGATCCACCCCAGTACGTGAGGAAAATGAGAAGGGCTGGCCATGTTAGGATCCAGTCCCAGCGCGACCAGATATGTCACCACCACATCACTTTTAGCTCCTCCCCCCACCCACACACACCTTATTTGCCTGTCATATAAAGAAGGTTTTCCCAAAGTGGTTTAGCCAGAACTGGAAGAGCCCTGCCCTGTGAAGGGATAGGAGCCTGACTGTTGCAGCTGCAGCCTGTGGTGGGGAAGCAGCAGCGGCCAGGATGAATCCCAGGTGTTCTGGAGCTGGATGGTGAAGTATGGACACGCTTTATTCGATTTCGCATTGACTTAAAGGTTTAATTATTTTAGGAGTTCTTGTAGACATTCCTGAAAAATGCAGGTAAGCAAAAAGAAGAAAACAAAGATCGCAAATGTGACCCTTTCACTCGGAGAGAACACCAATGGAATTTTGTTGGGCATCCTTCTATGCAAGTCTGGATATTGTGTAGACTTTCTGCTTAAAACTAGGTGTGGGTGCTGCTGCCGGAGGCTTTATTTGCTGTGCCTGAGGTGGGCCAGAGATTTCACTGAGGACTCCCAGAGCACCCCAAGAAGACAACAGAAGCACTTGGAGTCAGGATGACTGGGTGGATTTAGGACTATGTTACTCTCAGGAGCCTCCCTGGATTAGCCCCAAATCAAGGATAAAGAGAGGCCTGGCTGAACTCTTCCTCCCAGAGCCCTGCTGGGAAAATGGGAGCCCCTTTGCAGCCCCCACTTACCCATCAGGCCCTGCTTCTCCCACTCATCTCCAGACTTCTGTCACGTGCTCAAGTCCTGCTAACTGTTGTGTAAAACTGATAAGGTGGGATCCCGAGGACCTTGGGCCCCGAGGGCCCCAAGTCAGGAGACCTGGGCTCCAGGGCCAGTTGGGAGTGATAAAGAGAACAATACCTGCCCACAGGACTTGTTGCAATGAGATAAAGGCAGAAGTCACCAGTTGTGGTCAAATGGGATTTTTTCCAGAGAGGTCTCACAGAGAGTGGCTTTCAAATTCTTTTTAGCAGCAGAATTGTTGTAAAATACAATCTCATGTGAAACCCTAAAATATGAGACACTCTGGTTGAAGCAGAGAGAGGTGCTCACCTGCTCAATCCTGTCCTCATTCCTCCCTCTGAGGGTTGCACCTCTGAGAACCCAGTTTAAAGAATTTTGCCTTATGCCAAAGTCAGGATTGAAGAGGCAAGCTGGCTGGGAGAAACTGGGAAGCTCCACTTCCCACCGCCTCTGCCTGGGTGGCAGCCATCTGAGCCTAGGCTAGCCCCTCCCCCTCCAAAGACCCACTTCGGGCTCCCCTGGGGCCAGCCTCCAGGATGGGTGGGGCACCTGAAGCAGCAAGTATTGCTTTTTTTTGGGCTGACCTTTCTTCTAGGCCTGAGGACAAGTGGGAAGATAGGTGGGGCCAGCCCTGTCCCTGTTTCCCCTCAATGGAGTTCTCTTGCTCACAGCCTAAGGAAGAAGCGTGACTCACTTCCTGCCTCAGTCTGACTGCTGGAGTATTGTTCTCCCAACTGTGGCTGGCACTACCCAGTGTGGCCCCTACAAGTCTTAGTTCCTTGGTGGAGGGGAAGTCCCCACTTTGGGACAAGGCCAACTGGACTTACCTTCCAGCTCAACTTTGAGGACCCAGCATTGTTCCTCCAGTTTCCAGTTTTTGCAGTGTTTCTAAAGGTGCCCGAATCGTACCTTTGAATGAATGGGATCAGCATTCATTAAATATTATCTCCATTTTATAGAGGAGTAAATTGAGGAAGTCTCTGATAAATTAACTTGTCTAAGGTGTCCCAGTAAAAAATAGTGCCCCAGGGACTTGAACGGGTTTGCTGATTTTCATCAGTTGCCTTAAGAATTATCATGATTTAACCTCTCTGGGCCTCAGTTTCCTCCTATATAAAATGTAGACAGTGATACATCAAAGGTACTTAAAGGAAAATGTACTGTACCCACCTCATGGGGCATGTGGTGAGGACAGAAGGGGTTGACACAAGAAAAGAGTTCTCAATGGTGCCTGGCTCACAGAAAACACTCAGTGGATTTTTTTTTCTTTCCATTACCCGGGAACCTGTGTTCAGGAGGCCACAGGCAGATCCTGTGCAGCCAGTTTATCTCACAGGAAGCGAGAAGAGATGGGCACAGGCTGCTCTGCAACCTTGGAATAACCCAGCCTGGGAAGCTCTTGGCCACATTTTCCTTCTTTTCTTTCTCAGCTCAAGCAGCATCGGCCTCAGCCAAGTAGCACAAACGTTTTCTAGGGCCCAGGGAGGGAGAGGCTCCGGCTGGTATATTTCAAGTAGCTTGGATTCAGGTTCTGCCAAACACCCCAGTCTCTTGCAGGATCTGAGGTCTGCTGGTTGCGGAACTTTGGGCAAATTATTTAAACGTTGTGCGCCTCAGTTTCCTTATCTGTAAAATGGGATTAATAATGTCAGCCTGACAGGATTATATGGATCAAATCATGTACATAAGGAGGAGATAATATAAAGTGACTGGCCTGGTGCCTGGCAAGCGGTTGGTGTTTAAAAAAAAAAAAAAAAAAGCTAAAAATATTAAAAGGAGGTGGGTTACTTCTGCTCATATATCCACCTGTCTATACAAATGCAGACGAAGTCGTGACTCCTCTAACAGTAGGCCCAGAGGAGGCTGGCCCCGCCGCCGTGCAGTCCTCCCTCGACCTTGGACTGGAGGACCCCAGGTCCGCCGTCCCTGGGCACTTAACCCGGTTAGGCTCAAACTCGTGGCCCAGGAGTGGGAAGAGGGGGACGGAGAGGGTCGGCCCCCCAAGACTCCGGCCGAGGCAGGGCTCAGAGTGCCTCCCTCAAGCCTTTCCCCTCGGTTCCGAGTTCGGGTCTCCGCAGCCGTCTTCCCGGGGAGCTCGCGGGGCGAAGAGCCGAGCCCGGGGGCGGGGGCACGGCAGCGGGGCCTCGTGCCTGGCGGCCGCGAGGACTTTGGGATCGCCTGCCCCACTTCCTACCTGTCCCTACCGGGAGTCGGAGGCAGCGGGCGCCCCAGAAGGCCCCGCAGGGCCGCCGCTCGGGGCCGGACGCGCTGGGGCGCACAGCGCTAGGAAAGCGGGCCCGGGGCCGGGCATGGGCGGCGGGCGGCCGAGCCGGAGCCGGCGGTGGCGGCGGCCGGGGAAGCGCGGAGGTGGCGCCGCGAGGGGGAGGGGCGCGGCGGCGGAGGAGGAGGAGCCCGGGCCGCCGCCGCCGCCGCCGCCGCCGCTGACAGCGGCCCGAGTAAACAAGCCGCGCCGCCGCGGCCCGGCCGCTGCCCCCGCCCGCGCCGGAGCTGGAGCCCAGGCCGAGCCCTGCCCTGGTCGCCGGCCGGGCCGAGGCCGCGCCGCCGCGCCTCCCCGCCTCCGCGCCGTGACGCTGCCGCCGGGCGCGGGGACCGCGCCGAGCCCAGGCCCCCGCCGCCGGGCTCTTCGCTCGGCCGAGGGGCACCCGAGCCGCCGCGGCGCTCGCCTGTAAAAGTTTCCCCGTCCGGGCTCCCGAGGGTAAGCAGCGAGGGCGCGGGGCCCGGGGCCCGGGGAAGGCAAGCGCGCCTGGGAGCCGGGCCCGAGGGGAGCCGGCCGGGCCGGGCCGCTCTGCCCCAGGAGCGGGCTCCGCGGCCCGGGTGCCCGGGCCAGGGAGGGTCAGGGCACTGGCGCCGGTGCAGCCCCGACCCGGGTCCCCCGGGGCCCGGCTGCCCGCCCGCTTTCGGGAACTGGCTCCGGGGCCGGCCCCGAGGGTGGAGCTGCCGGGAGCAGACAGGGCGCTCAGCAGCCCACCTGAGCGCGCCGGGCCGGTCTCGGACCCCCGGCCCTGGCCGGTACTTTTCCGCGTGGGGCCAGGGCGAGCCCTCTGACCTCAGGAAGCGCCTGCGGGGCCCCTGCTGGGGGCGGGATGGGGAGAAAATTCCTCAGGCTCCGGGTGCTCCCGCCTCCCCGCCGCCTCGGGGGCTGCCGCCGGCTCGCCCACTCCGCGGCCGCGTAGGGCCTGCGTTCCGCCCGGGGAGGGGAGGAGCGGCCGGGGGCGAGGCGGGGGATCCTTCTCCCGGGCCTCGCCCCCGCCCGCACACCTGTGCGGTGAGGACTCAGGTGCGGGATCCGCGGGCGCCGGCGGCGGGCGCAGGTAGGTCCCGGGGCTGCCTTCTGCCGCGGCCTGGCCGAGGCCCCTGTGCCCCCGCGGGGTGGCTGAACCGAGGGGCGGCCTGCTTGCCAGACAGGTCTGACGGCAGTCACTTGTCTGGTCGGAACCCGCTTTCCCATCATCCTCTACCCCATGGCCCCTGGGGTGCAGACCCTCATCCACTGGAGGGTGTTGGGATTCTTATTCCGACTTGGGAAGTGCGAGGGGAACCCAGGTGATGTGGCCTGATGAGAGCGGCTGCTGAGCAGGTGTGGACACAGCATAGGAGAGTAGCCAAGCCTGGCCTCTTCTCAAGCAGAGCAGCCCTCGTTTTACTATTTCCTATATTGGAGCATTTGATTTTAAAAAGGATTCTGTGGCTTTTTAAAAAAAGTTTGAAAACCGCTGGTCTAGCAGTTTTTACCACCAAGGAAACTGAGGCCCAGGGAGAGGAAGTGACTTGTTAAGATCATCCAGCAAGTAGTGGGCAGGAACTGGGAGCGATAATTTCACGGGAGCCTCCCAGGGCTGGTAACAGGACCCGGCGTGGTGTCTCTTCTAGAGGAAGAGATTGATTGGGTGTCCGGGTGGCCCTCCCGTGGCCTGCTCTGTGGCTGTGTCAGAGCCAGACCCCCAGTGTCTGGGAAACATCAGTGGGTCCTGGGGTAAGGCGCAGTTTGAGTGGCCCAGAGTGGCTCTCTGTGTCGGGAGGTTCTGGAGCTGGAGAAAAGGGCTGTGCCCAAGAACATAGCCAGGAAGAGCACCCACAGCTCTCTCTGGCCACAGCCTGGAGCACAGTCCCATGTGAAACAAGATCATGAGAAATACAGCAAGCCTCCAGGTTTGAGACAAACTGGGACTAGAGGGTGAGTCAGAGTCTGGGATGGGGGTGGGGAGATACCCATTCATTCATTGTTTTCAGTTCTTACTCTTTTCGGGGATCCTCCCTTGTCCCGCATGCTGTGGCAGAGCCGTCTGTGGGGGTCTCATTTTCTGGAAGCCGTCCCCACCCCTCACCATGGGTGGGGTTGTTGGATGGAGGGAGGCTGGCCCTCTTTCTTTGGGGGGACTGTTCAATTGCGCCTGAAGCCTGCTTTCTTTCCGAGTGCTGCAAGGTAATTAAATAGTTGGTTAATCACTTTTAACGCCAAGCAGCTGCGGCTCCATCTACAGTGTGCTGGAATCTGGGCTAGACCCAGATGAACCCAGCCTCGATTTGGGGGCTCCAGCAGGACTCACAGCACTGTGGTTGGTGGTGGTGGGGGCAGGGGGATGATCCAAGAGGCAGCTGTGGTGGCAAGAGGAGAGAGATGAGGCCCTGTTCCTATATGGCTCTGCCCCCAGGGTCCCACATCCTCTCTTAAATGAGGGACTTGGGAGGAGGTCCCTCCATCCCCTAGGGCTGGGGTGCCTAGCTGTCCAGCCATTGATCAGGCCAGCTTTCTGGAACCAACCACCCAAGGCACCATGGGGCTGTGGTTCCCAGGCCTGCCCTGGAGCCCTGTGGAGTCTGCCCACAGGGATGTGCAGGAGCTGTATTGTAGATGTCTCCTGCCATCAGCTGTCAGGTTATTTTGGTCCAAACTGAAAATACTCCAGGAATTGTGTGTGGAGTACCCCCAGCCTGCAGGGTGGGACTGCAGCAGTCAGGGAGGCCGGTTGTGTCTAAGGGCAGCCTCTGGAGAAGCAAAGAGTTCTCTATAGTGAGCCTGCCTCTGTAGCTCCCCAGGGCCTACGTGAGCTGGGGTGCCTTCCTTTTGGTATCCGGCAAAGAGTGGCCTTGGCTATGGAAGTGGTAAGGGCATCCAGGGCCCTGCCGCTGCTCATGGAACTTGGCACTGATACGGGATACCCCCAGCAGCACTGCTGGGACCTCCCCCAGCTTCCCTCCTTCCTCCAGGGGCTTGGCTTCTGGCTAGTCAGGGGCTCTATGTGGGGACAGTTATGTGGCCCTAGGCAGAGAGGTCCCGCCGTCTGTTTGCTGAAGGAGGAAAAACAACACTCGGACTATTGATTCAGCCTCACCTTGGCGCTCCTGGCTCAGCAGCCAGTGTTTGCCCTGGCTGCCTGGGCTCGGATTACGCAAGGCTGGTGGGCGTGGAGCAAGCAAGGGGGCAGCTGGGGGCCTCCAGGCCCAGGCAGGGCAGGGCTTGGCGGCCCCAGCGTTCCCCAGGAAACAGTAAAAACGAGCCTGGGCCCCTGACTTTGCTGATAGAGCCATCTCAGCCATAGAGGGAGGTGAAGCCTCTGTGATTGCCACCCCGCACCTCCTCAGGACATGGCCCATAAAAGTACCATCTCACCTAGGGTCACCCATTCTTTCTTCTTAGGAGCTGTGGGGCTTTGCAAATAACTCCCTATGGCTGAACTAGGAAACCCTAGTGAGTTGTATAGATGCCATTCATTTAAAAACCTTGAAAAGCCAGCATCTTATTCCTATGTAAAATGTACCTAGGTGATTTGGAGAATACAGTGACACAAAGAAAAAAATAACAATTACTTGTAATTCTCACCATCTTGAGAGAACCACTGTTAAGGTTTTATAGCGTGTGTCCTTCCGGATTTTGTTTTGGTTTGTATAAATATACATGTAAAAATAGTTTTTAAAAAATAAAATGGGATTATGTGTACGTACTGCTTTATAATGCATCTTTTTTACCTTGATCAGTTGAATATTTATTCATTTGTTGTTTCTGATTTTGAGTGACTCAGGGCTTGATAGTCTTCATCCTGCTGCTTCTGTTACACTTTTTTCTTTTTGAGAGGAAGTCTCGTTCTGTTGCACAGACTGGAGTACAGTGGCGCGATCTTGGCTTACTGCAACCTCCACCTCCTGGGCTCAAGCAGTTCTTGTGCCTCAGCCTCCCAAGTCGCTGGGACTGGAAGCACCTGGCTAATGTTTGTATTTTTAGTAGAGACGAGGTTGCACCACGTTGGCCAGGCTGGCCTCGAACTCCTGACCTCAGGTGATCCACCCGCCTCAGCCTCCCAAAGTGCTGGATGACAGGAGTGAGACACCATGCCTGGCCTTTCTGTTACACTTCTTACATTCTTGCATGGAGAAAGGATTGGGTGGGATTGTGAGGGCATCCATCTGTCCATCTATCTGACTGGCCTTGGGTGCTAGATTTCTTCTGGGGAGCACTTATTTTTTTACCCTTCTCCCCCAGATCTCATTTCAGGCCCCAATTGAAACTTGAGGTGGGCAGGGCAGCTTTAGTGCATGGCAGGGGAGGAACTGACCCTCTCCCCCCTTTTCCCTTCTTGTTCCTCTCAGAGTCGGCACTCCTCACCCTCCCGAGCCCTGCCCATCTCGTCCCCATGCCCCCACCAGTCAGCCCCGGGCCACAGGCAGTGAGCAGGCACCTGGGAGCCGAGGCCCTGTGACCAGGCCAAGGAGACGGGCGCTCCAGGGTCCCAGCCACCTGTCCCCCCCATGGAGCTGAGGTCCTGGTTGCTATGGGTGGTAGCAGCAACAGGAACCTTGGTCCTGCTAGCAGCTGATGCTCAGGGCCAGAAGGTCTTCACCAACACGTGGGCTGTGCACATCCCTGGGGGCCCAGCAGTGGCCAACAGCGTGGCACGGAAGCATGGGTTCCTCAACCTGGGCCAGGTAGGTGTTCTTACCTGGGCTGCTGGCCTAGGCACAGGACATTGCCAGGGGGTGGGACCAGAGAAGACAGGGATTCTGGCATCAGGGAGCAGGAACTGTTGGCCTTGTTTGCTCAGGGGCATCTGGGTAGCTGGCATGTTCTGGGTGGCCAGGAGCAAAGCACAGGTGGTTCAGGCGAGCAGCATATCCCAGTGAGAGTGAGTCCTCACGGTCCCTGCATGTTGCTGGGTCCTGGACAGGGAG